CCCACTCGTCTCTCTCCTCCTACCCACAGCCAGGACTCCACAGGTGACTAGGGAATGTATGTTGAACTGAATGGGTCACACGATGGCACTTACCCCACAGGATATAGGCTATTTGCCAGCCAGAGTACCTTGCAATGGCCGCCTGAAATTCAAAAAGAACGAGAGCGTCTCAGAGCAGGAGGAAACTATGATTATCTCTGACACGTGCCCAGCAACCCTGTCTCACCTGAGGTTCTCCCACCATCCCAGGGAGGCAGGTGTTGTGATTGTCCTCACTGACAGATGAGGAAACTGAGGGCCCAATGGGGACGGTGACTTGTCACGAGTCATCCAGCAGCAGAGCAGAACTAGACTTGAGGGCTCTAGAGGCCCATCAGGGCTCTTCCTCCCCCAGCGCTGCCCCATCCACGGTGCAGCATGGCAGGTTTGGGCATGTGGCTTAGTCTCAGAACACAGAGAGGCCTCTGCACACTTACCACACTCTCCGACGAGGAAGGATGATGGAACTTCAAAGGGAGAAAGTGTTTATCACCTGCCCACAGCCTCTTCATGTGCTTCCTGGAGAAAAGTGAGAAATTAGGTAATGTTCATACCTATGAGTACGCAGAGTCAGAGCTCAATAGATACAAACAGAGAGAACTGGGAGGCCCACGGCAGCCAGCCTGGCCTCCCCTGTGCTGATGACAGCTCGTCATGTGTTAGTTCTGATTTTTCTTCACAATCTTAAAGTTTAAAATATTTTCTAAAAGTAATGTATATTTTTCAAGTCATAATGGTGACCGAATCTGATAGATGGGATTATGTACGGCTTTTATTTTTTTTCATTTTGTTTTCTGTATTTTCTTATTTTACTATGGTGAGTATGTATTATTTATGTAATGAGATTTAAAAACAATTAAAGACAGAAAATCAATTTTGCTGATAACCTAACCTTATAATAACATAAAGGGAAATCAAAAAGGGGCAACAACCCCTCACAATCCCACCCCCTCAGCCTGTCACTGCTTCCTTTTTCCCACGTTCTAGTCTTGACCTTGGCCCTGTGCCTAAGGGTCAGGTTGATGTTCATGGTCCACACTCCCATTTGCGTCCTGCTTTTTTTCACTATCTCCAGCCTTTTTCCCGGCTGTTTTGTACTTTTCATGACCACTAAACTAGAAAGACTTAGAATGAAATAAGGAATATAAATATTTCATTAATAATTTTTATACCTATTACATGTTGAAATGATACTATTGGGACATATTAGGTTAAATAAAATATATTATTAAAATTCATGTAACCTGTCTCTTTTTACTTTTTTAATAGTGGCTATTACAAATTTCAAAATTGCATGTGTGACTTTTATTACGTTTCTATTTGTCAGCATTGGGATTGAGTGTGGTACCACCAGTACACAACACACACAACACACACACATATTTGCATTGTGCATAGAAAATCTATGAAAGGATACACAGAAAATAGTTAACAGTGGTTAGCTTGGGATACAAAATTAGGGACCCGAGTGGGAGGAAGACTTACTTTACACTAATATTCTTTGTAATATTTTTAAAAAGTGCCTGTACGTAGGTTGGATAATGTTAAGAGAAATTAAAATGTTGACACAGTGCTAGTGCCCTGCAGTTTTTAGGGTGCTTTCTCATTTATAATTTCCTCTGCCCCACAGTCCTCAGGGGTCAGGAAAGGGATCCCCATTCCTGGGTGACAGCTAGGGGGCATGGGGCACGCTGGGCAGGCACTCAGGCTCCTCTCCCCATATGCCTTCTCCTCCCTGTGCCCTCAGCCGCCCTCCTCCACATCCACGCGGCCCCCTCTGCATAGTGGTTGTCCCTGATTATGCTCAAATGTCTCACTGAGTATCTCTCAGCCACATGCAGATGAATGAGGGAAGAAGCAGACATAGGCCCATCAGGCAGGGCAAGGAAGTAGCGGTGACCAGACTACCCATGGGGTCCAGGGAGAAGAAAGTAGAGAGAGGATCGAGGCAGGGCTTGGAGGAGAGCTGGGCCCTTCATGCCAGGAGAGTCTCTTTGTGGATGCCATCTGCAAGAGTCCCACCTTTTGGGCAGGCAGGTGGGGAGAATGTAAGGGCAGGATATCCAGGAGGGCAGGAAATTGGCTACAGGCTTCCAGTGAGAGAGAGAGAGAGAGAGAGAAGGGAGCAGTGGATACCTAAAATTCTACTGGTTTCTGCATGCAAATGCCCACTACATATTTCAGGCTATCCCCTCTTCCTGCACTGCTGCTCTTGCAATTGATGTTCTTGGTCCCCTGCCTCAATCTCCATTCATGTCCCCTTGAGCCAGATTCACCTGCTGGGAGCCCAGAGTATTAGCCCTGGAGAGCAGGGCAGGTCTGACACCCAATAGAGATGTCTGAATGTACAAGAAATAACAGAGTCTCTGGGATCAGAAAGACTTGATCATTTGCTAATTGCTTGGGGAAGTTATTTAATTTTTTCCATTCTCAGCTCTCTCAACTGTAAAAATGGAGATGAGAGGTGAATGTGCTTACCTCTCAAGGTTGTGGTGAAGTTCAAATGAAGATCCTAAGCATATTGCTTGCTCATTGTACAAGCTCAAGCCAATAGATGTTTTTTTCCTCCCTACCAGAACATGTGGCTTATCCCTGAACTTGGACATACTTCCTGGGCCCATATTGGGCACCACGGACACTGCTTGGGAATTCTGAGAAAAGCCTGTCAGATGATTTCCTGGCTGAAGATTCACAAATGACTCCCAGAGTCCTCTTACCTGTAACAGGCCAAAATGTGGAACAGATAGCTCACACACGTGAGGGAAGCAGGCAAAATGGTCACCATCCAGGCTCCTGAAACACAAAAATGTGAGAGGCCTCAAAAAATAAACATGAAACTGAATTTCCAAAATGCAGAATCCTGCATCAGAAAGGCCTAGTCAAAATCTATTATACCTCCTTGGACATATCTTTTGTGTAAATAAACATTTGCTAAATTTTTTGTTTTATTTGAGCCACACACACTCTCCATATACTTTATTTCCTGCACAGTCCTCTCTTTTGGTACTAATGTTTTCATTCTGCAGTGAATAAAGGGAAGAGGAAATTATGGAGTATACACATCATAAGTAGCCTCCGTCCATGGAAAACAACACTAATATTTGACTTCTAAGTGCCTTTTTTGTGAGGAAGTGGGGTTATTGGGTACAATTGGGTACAATTGGGCAATTGTAATTGGTTATAAGGATAACTAGGATCAAGAAGTCTTGGTTATTCACTCATTCACTCTTCAGCAAGTTTTTAATGTTTACAATCTGATTTGCTCTCAGAGAGATTCTGTGTGTTTGTGAGAATGGGATGTAGAAACAGGGAAAGAAAATGATTTGTTGGCTTAAAAGCTTCTGTAGAAGCTGATTCTCAATAGGTGCAGAAAAAAGCCTTTGCCAAAATCCAACATCTCTTTATGATTAAAAACACTCAACAAACTAGAAATAGAAGGGAATTTCCTCAGCCTGGTAAAGGGCGTCTGCTAAAATCCCACAGCTAATATCAGATTTTATGGTAAAAGACTGGATGTTTTCCACCTAACTTCAGGGACAAGAAAAGAAACGACTGCTTTTGCCAGTTCTAGTCAACATTGTACTGGAGGTTCTAGCCAGTGTGATTCGGCAAGAAAAAGAAAATAAAATGTATCCAGATTGGAAAGGAAAAAGAAAACTACCTCTATTCACAAATGACATGATTTATATGCAGAAAATCTGAGGGAATGCACAAAAAACTATTAGAACTAATAAATGAGTTTGGCAAGGTTTGCAGGATAGGAAACCAATATATAAAAATGAATTGTATTTCAATATACAAATGATAAACAAATCCAAGATCAAATAAAAAACCTTTTGCATTTATAATAGTATAAAAACCAAAAAAACACAAGAATAAATTTAGCAAAATAATGTACAACTTGTACACTAAAAACTCCAAAAGATTTTGGAAGAAATTAAAGAAGATCTAAATTAATGGGAAGACATCCCATGTTCACAGGTTATTCATTTTTAACATCGCAATACTCCCCAAATTGATCTACAGATTCAACACAATCCCTATCAAAATTCCAATGCCATTTTTGCATTAATTGACAAGCTAATCCTAAAATTCACATAAAAATGAAGGGACCCAGAATGAGCAATATATTGCTGAAAAAGAATAAAATCACAGAACTCATAGGTCCTGATTTCAAACTTACTGCAAAACTATAGCTATGAAGCCAGTGTGGCAAAAGGATAGGCACATATGTCAATGTAATAATAGTATGGTCAATTTATTATCAATACAAATGACAAGATAGTTTAATGGGGAAAGAATATGCTTTTCAACAAATGGTTCTGGGACAACGGGATATTCACATACAAACCAATGAAATTAAACACTTACCTTACACCATATATAAAAATTAACTCAAAACTGGATCAAAGGCCTAAATGTAAGAGCTAAAATTATAAAAGTCTTAGAAAAAAATGTGAAATAAATCTTCATGGCTTTGGGTTAGGTAATGATTTCTTAGAAATGACACCAAAAGCACAGGTGATAATAAGAAAAAATAGATACGCTGGACTTCGTCAAAATTGGAAACATTTGTGTTTCAAAAGATACCATCAAAAAAGTGAATGCAACCCACAGAACAGGAGAAAATTTTTGCAAATCATGTGTCTTATCAGGGATTTGTATATAGACTACATAAGAAGATTTACAGCTCGACAGTAAATAGACAAGTAACTCAAATTTTAAAATGGCCAAAGAATCTGAACAGATAGTTTTCAAAAGAATATATACAAATGGCCAATACGTACATGTAAAGATGCTCAATATTATTAGCCACTAGGGAAATGAAAATCAAATCAACAATGAGATTCCGCTTCATACACACTGGATGGCTGTAATCAGAGAGAGGTAGTAACAAGTGTTGGGGAGGATGTGGGGAAACGGGAATTTTCCCATTGCTGGTGGGAATTTATAGTGATGCAGCTACTTTTGAAAACAGGCTAGTGGTTCACCAAAAGATTAAACATAAAGTTGTCATATGATCCAGCAATTTCATTCCTAGTTATATACCCAAGATATATGAAAATATGTAAAAAAAACTTGTACGTAAATGTTCACAGCAGTATTACTCATAGTAGCTAAAATGTTGAAACAACCCAAATGTCCATCAGCTGATGAGTGGATAAATAAAATGTGATACATCTATACAATGGAATAGTAATTGCCAATAAAAAGGAATAAAAAACTAGATAAAAAGTTCAGACGCATGCTACAACATGAATGAACCCTGCAAACATGCTAAGTGAAAGAAGCCAGTCACAAAAGATGACATGCTATATGATTCCATTTATGTATGTCCAGAATAAGCAAATCCATAGACAAGAAAAATAGATTAGTGATTGTTTAGGGTGGGAAGGGTGAAGGAAACAGGGAATGACTTAAAATGGGTCGTGATTTATTTCCAGAGTGATGAAAAATGTTCTAAATTTGACCATGGTGATGGTTGCACAACCTTGAGAATATACTAAAAACCACTGACCTGTACTCAAATGGACAAACTGTATAGTACAAGTACATGGATTATATCTCCGTGAAGCTCTTTTTAAAAAGAAAGAAAACGAAAGCTGATTTCCTTTCCTTTCAAGTTTTAAGTGTATCCTTGCCCCAGGATCATGAGGACAAATTGAGGTCCAAATCTCAACCAACCCAAAGGATTTATGGTAAGCCACCATAAATCCCACCCCAGGGTATGCAGGGGAAGATGTCCTTGGAAGGGATGAATGAGAGGAATTTGGCCACAAGACCAGTGAGTGCAAAGCTGCTCCCACCAGCAGCATGAACACACCCTCACACCTTTAATGTAATACCTTTCTCTTCCCATTCAAAGGTAAAGTATGTTCAGCCTAGAAGTCTCTTGTTGCAAGAGGGTAGCTGTTTTAAAGCCAGAAGAGACTGGGATACAGGGGAAAATGATGATTCTCAAAATGCGGGGCCGAGCCCGTGGTGCACTCGGGAGAGTGCGGCGCTGGGAGTGCAGCAGCGCTCCAGCCGCGGGTTCGGATCCTATATAGGGATGGCCGGTGCGCTCACAGCGCTCACTGGCTGAGC